AAAAAAAAAAAAAGTATTTCAGTCATTTTGAATAAAATGAATTTAGAATATCTGACGAAATCTATTCTAAAAGTTAAAGTAAATTTAATAAAGAAAAGAATTTTTACTATAATGTAATAAAAATAAGAAAAGAATGATTTTTAAATAAAATCGCTATTTTTCTCAATTGTACTTAATTTCAATAAGACAAAAACAAAGATTGTTACAAGATAAAATATCATCAATAATTGAAAATAAATAATTCAATCTTTGAAAAAGATCAAAGTATTGTTTTTCTTTTTTTCTCGTACCAGATATTAATTTTTCTGTTATATCCATTAAATCATTATAATCAGCATAAGCCATATAAAATTCACATATTGTAAATTCGGGATTATGTGTCATATCAATTCCTTCATTACGAAATACTCGACCAATTTCATAAACACGATCAATACCACCAACAACTAACATCTATAGGAAAAAAGAAAATTCAATTAATCATGATAAAGTATTTGTGGATTCTACATAGTCAGATGATGAACAAAAATAATATTTAAATATAATTTAAACAGAGACTTGAATAAAAAAAAAAAAACTAAACATAATTTCAAATTGATTTATCTTCTTTCTATATTGTATCAATATTCTTATTTTTAGAAATGATTTGTATAATCTAACATGCAATGATCTATTCACTAAAAAATCGAATCAGCATAATAAGAAATTATGATAAATGAAACAATTCAATAAATATTCTATGAAATAGTCAGTTGATGAGATCTCGAAAAATATCTATTGAAATTCTTAAAAATCTCATATTTTGTTTTATTAAGACGTTCTTTCCTTGAAGAAAGACCAATTTTTATCAAAAAAAGCCATGAAAATTGAAATAAATGCATGGAAAGATAGTCCAATGTTTGATCTTTTAATAAATGATTGGATTTTTTTTTATTTGATATCTTGTTTTTTCCAAAAATTTTCTTCGTTTTCTATTTAAACAATAGGATTTTTTCAACTAGAATAGAAAATCTTTTTTTTTTCTTTTTTCTGTTTATGCTTTTTTTGTCATTTCGCGTCCCAAAAATTTTTCAATGAACTTCATTATAATCAATAACTTTTATTGTAATTTGAAAGAGTATTTGAAGATGTAAGACATGATAGAGTTCGTTGTTTTCAATTAACCTTTGTTACTATTATATAAAAAAGTATATTTATAAATAGAATGACATATTTTTAAAGAATTTTTTTCAGACATTCAATTTTTCATTTGTGTTCTCCTAATAAGAACTACGAATTTAGACGAAAGACCTCTGATATGTTCTTTCTATTAAAGAAAAACAAAATCTCGTATATACAATGAAGATCAACAGAAAACTTTCCGTTGACAAATGAGCTATTTTTTGTTTACCCTTGTTTGTTGACTATCTTTCAAAAACATCATGATATAGACCTGAAAATTTCATGCGATATGAATCTTTCTGGATCAAGATAGATTTTTAAAGGGAAGCAGAGAAATGATATTGGAGCTTAACCCTTGAGGAACGATGATACATATATTGTACCATTTATTTTTCAATAAAAAACATCTCTGTGCTCCATGAATTTGTCATAACGCATGTAGCATAATAGATCGGTCTCATTTACCAACTCATGCATATCTTTTCTCTCTTTCTTCTTTTTCTATACACTCTACTAAGATATTTTTATTTTCTTTCTGCTAATATACACTGAACCCATAATTTCTTCATCTCTTCTGTTCATATATTATCATACGCATCTTCTTGATTGCGGACATTTTTTCTTAATTGGTGAAAAAAAATGTCCGCAAAATAAAATGAGGGGGGGGGGGGGGAAGAGACGAAAATGTCCGCAAATTGAAAAGCGTCCGCAAAGTGGAATCGGGGGGAGAGAGACAAAACTGTCCGCATTATGGAAAGTAAAAAATATAGATATAGTACGATGATCAGTGTGGCTAGTTCGATTTGAAGATATATATTGCATCTTCCAACCTAGTCTGGAATGTCACGTGGTGTCCAGGTCATTTTTTGCATCTTGATCTTATTGGAATTCGATAAAAAACTAACAATCACGTAGAAGGTTATCATGGTCAATTAAATTCTCATTGTCAAACTCATCTAAATCTCTGGGTCTGGATAAGATACATCCAGGAGTCAGAAGAATCAACGATGGTCCGGGTTGAGCAAGAACAAGCTAAACAAGAATATTTAGATGCTAGTTTAGATCTTGAAGGTTATCAAAAGTGATTACGTTCACTTTGTTATCGCTACATCAACGTATTCGATACGTATGACAAGGATGATCTTAATTATCAACCTAAACAAAATTAGATATTCATTGCCTTTCATTAATGAAATTTTTCTGCATTTTTTTTCTCATTTAATAAAATTTATCTTGATTCTATAATGTGATCATTTTTGTCTCTCTTCCCCGATTCCGCTTTGCGGACACTTTCCAATGTGCTGACATTTTTGTTTCTCCCTTCCCCCCATTTTATTTTGCGGATACTTTTCCTTAATTAGCAATTAAAAGTATCCGCAATCAAGAATGAGCCATTATCATAAATTTTTTATGTAATCATAGCTGTTGATGTTTTTTTATGAACACAGGAGAGATTTAAATTGGATAGACAATTAGACACAGACTGTATGACAGAAAATAACAAGCAAAAAGGTCTATGCTAAAATTTGACATGTAGTTTTTAGATAATTACTCGAAATTTTCATAGACATGACATAAAAAAATGGAAAGGTCTAGTCCACTCGATTGTCTTCGACATGAAGACCTATGATTATAATTAATGAAATAAATCATTATCTAATAGACTTGATTTTTTCATTATTTTGATTGAATAAAATATTTGAAATTCTCTTCTTGAAAATTGATTAATTCCTCTTTATTATAAACTTTATATTTTTCTAAGACAAAATATATTTGATAACAATCTTGGATAGTGACAAAATACTTTATCGTCTACTTTAACTCGAATTTGATGAAAATAAATTTAGTTATGTTGAGAAAACACATGTTTTACTTTTCAACATATGAAGAAGAATACTCATTTTTGTCTCATCTCTTATTATCTGAATGAGGAATTGGTCATATTCAAAAATCGATGAATTATTAATAGAAAAAATCGTTCTTTCCTATCTCTCATAATAGAGATTCTAGATTAAATCAAAATATTTTTTGTTCTTTTTTTTGCTTGATTTTATAGATTTGTTAAAAATACAATGTTATCCTATTATAATTCTTATCATTTCTCGTAAATGATGAAAGTGAAATATTTTTAAAAGAATGAAAATTATTTATTTTGAAGTAATGATTCAATAGTTGTCTTGAGAAAAATAATTTTTTCTTCTCAATTTCATTTTCTTTAATTGGTTTAATTATTTAATAAATAATGTCGAAAAAACAACTCTAGTGATTATTTGAAGATAAAAAGAATAAAAAGATCGTTGAAGAATAAGATTTAGATTAAGATTGATGAAAAGATAATTATTATAATAAAAATGATTTTCTTTTCTATTTACCTTTAAAAAAAGTTCAGGAGCAACAGCAAAACCATTTATTACATATCATAATGATTTAAATAT